CCCCCCTGCCCGGCTGAAGGGAAGAGGCGTGTCCCCCCCCCCCCCCCCTCTCTCTGTTCGTGTGAGAACCGGGCCTTTCTCCTCCGGCCTGGAAGGGTCACTTCAATCTGGGAGCTGTTCCCTTCCTTGCCCTGCAGACCCACTGAGGCAGCCCCCAATTCCTGCTGCAGCAGGAGGAGGAGGGTGGAGACGTCTGCCTGCACCCCGGCTTCCCAGCCCCCGGAGTCTTCTGGGGTGGGAAACTCAGTGGCTCCTCCTCGGCCTCCTCCTCCTCCTCCTCCTCCTCCTCCTCCGGTGGGGTTCTACCTCTACCAAGGTAGGCCGTGGGGGCTCTGGTCAAGAGGCCCCTGAGGCTGCTTCCCTCTCCACTCAGGGCAGCGCCAGGAGAGCCGCCAGAGGTGGGAGCTTCAGCATCTGCAGGCAGGGCTTCGGGGACCGAGTGATGTGGAGCAGGAGGGTCTCCAGGGCGGGGAAGCACCCTCCCTCTGGACCCCCTGCCTTCACACGGGGGTCTCTCTGCCTTTCCAGCAGGGTGCTGAGCCAGAAAGAAAGAGCCGCCTTTCCTCGCAGAGTCCGAGCGGCTGGCATCGTGGCCAGCTCGAAGGATGAAGCCATCTACGCCTTGACGGAGGGCACCGAAAGGCTGATGACCTGCGTGGAGAATCAGCTGACAGCCAACCTCTTCCTCATGTCTGAGTATCCCTTGCCAGAGGCCCAGTTCTTGGGGCACCCTGCCTCTCCCCGGCACAGGCGCATCTCTGGAAAACTGGCCGAGGAGTACGGAGAGCCGGAAGGGCTAGAGGCAGGCCAGGCCCGGTGGATGGGGGTCTTTGGCCGCTCGGGAAGAAAAGAGGTCGAGGCTCGAGGTAAGACACCCCCCCCTTGCGCCTTGGGAGCAGTGTGGCTCCCCTGCGGCCCCGCATCCTGTGGGGCCTCTGCAACCATGCTCCAGGAATGCCAGAAGGCTGTTGGGGGCACCCCAAAACCTCTTCAGAGCCTGGATCCCAAGGCTTGGCTCTGATGGGGGGCAGTTCCTGCTGCTCCAGAAAAGGACGTTCCTCTTCGCACAGATGCCGTGGATGAGATGGGTGGTTGGAAACCAGGGCTTGGGGGGGAGGGGTGTCTGCTTCTCGCGTGCACCCCCCCCCTTTCATCTTCTCTCTCCACTTGCCCCACAGCTGTCACCGAGGGGGCCAAGCAGCCCTCCCCCAGGAAGCTGCCGCGCATCCAGCAGGCCCGAGGGAAGGGGGTCGCCATGGCGCCATTCCCTGAAGCCCCAGAGAGCAGCAGCAGCCCCAGCCGGCACGCCACCAGCGCCAGCGGCTCCCCCACCACCAGCAGCGGCAGCTCCGGCACAAGAGAGCTGCGGGCCGCCAAGAAGGCGCAGCGTGAAAAGGAGAAGCTGCGGCAGGCCAGGGCCCCGCCCTCCGCTCCCCAGGAGGTCCACAGGCTCAGGAAGCTGCGGAAGCGGGCCCAGCCGATTCTCCTGCAGCGCCGGGACACCCGCACGCAGCTCTACTCGGAGATGCTGAAGAGCACGAAGGTCCGGAAGGAAACGTCGGCACCGTCGGCAGTGGTGCCTCCGGCGAAACCCAAGGCCGGCGGCAGCCTCATACAGGCCAAACCCAGTCCTGTGGAGCCACCCACACTGCCCCCGGGCCCCCCGGGTCCCCCCGGGCCCCCAAGTGCCCCTTGGCCCCCCGGGCCCCCAAGTGCCCCTTGGGCCCCCGGGCCCCCAAGTGCCCCGGGCCCTCCCCCCAAAGGCATCCTCATCGACCCCAAGCAGCAGTATGCGGCTGACAAGTCCAACTGGCGCACCGACCTCTACAAGCTGATGATGCTGCGCATCTCCCCCTCGGTCGAAGGGCGCACTGTAGGGGAGGACTTCCTGGCCTCCGCCCAAAAGGCCCTCGCCGGCCAGAGGCTCTCCTGGGAGCTCCTGGCCGACCTCAGGCAGGCCCTGCTCAGCTCCCAGGAGAAGCTGAGCACAGAGCCCCCCGCCTGGAGGAAATACATGGATGATTTCGTCAAGCTCTCCCTGAAGGAGTCGTGGCTCCAGCCGTCGGAGGAGAGCTTGGAAGCCGTCTTGGCCGTGAGGACGGCTGAAGACAGGACCAGCAGCAGCTCGGAGCCGGATGAGCCCAGCCAGGACGAGGCGGAGAAGGGGCCGCGGGGGAGAGCCACAGTGGCAAAGAAGAAGAGCCGCCGGCATCGCGGAGCTAAAGTGGGAAAGCTGCTCCAAGGGGCCTCCGAAAAAGAAGCGAAGCCCGTAGCTAAGTTGTCTGAGAAATGGGGTGCCAGGATGGAAGAGTTTTCCAAAGGCAAGCAGGAGTCGGTGACCAGGGCCAGGGAGCAGGAGCTTGCTTGGAGCAGAGAGCAGGTGCCTGCCAGGGCAAAGGAGCGGGATCGCCCCCTGGAGAAGGAGCCCTCCAGAGGCAGAGCACGGGGAGCAGCGTCCTGGAGGCGGAAGGAAGCGGAAGCTGCTGAAAGGGGAGGAAAAGAAGGGGCTGTGCAGAAGGAGGAAGGCTGGCCTGCAGGCGAGGAGGAGGAGGAGGAGGAGGAGGAGGAGGAAGCAGAGAGGGCCCAGGAGGAGCTGCCCAGCGTGGAAGAGCTGCCCCTCCCAGTGGGCTCCCAGAGGATCCTGACCCGGCTGTCGGAGGACACGCTGACCAAGATGAGGGTAGAAGTCAAGGCCAG